GCTGCGGTGGCCGGGAGCGGGCCACTGCACTCCAGTCTGGGTGACAGAGAGAGACTCCAACTCAAAAAAAAAAAAAAAGCATAGCATCTCTGAGCCCGCCAGGGGGCCTCACTACCATGTCCTACAGCCTGACTGGAGGGGACTCACAATGGTCACCCGCGCTCTCTTTTTTCTTCTCCTTAAGTCGATTAAGTCGATCCAAATTGATCAGCAAATGTCCCTCCTGGATGCTTCAGACCCACCCAGAGGGAAAGGGGGACGAGATGCAGGAGTGACGACTGACCCCCCAAACCCCTGACTCGCCCCTACTCAGGCAAGGCCCCCAGAGGCCTCATCCTGTGCTGACTCTCAAGAACCCTGGGAAGCCTGGCAGGTACCTGTGTCATCCCCCCTCCATGTCTGGACTCCCCCAGGCTGTAGTGAAGTCAGATCTGAAAGGGACATGGGCCCAGGGGGACTCACACTCCTTCTCAAAGGAAATGCAGGCTGGGGTCGTACAGGATACAGCGGGGTAGGTGGGGTAGCCCCCCTCCTCTGAGGGTACCTCCAGCGCTCTGAGGTAGAGGGGTTCCCACTGTGTAAACCAGTGTCTGTCCCTATGGGACATTCTCAGGCTCTGGCCTGGGAAGGGCAGCAGTGACATGGGTTCCACCCTGTGTCTGTCCCCCAATAGGGGACGTGTGTGTGAGTACATGTGGGTGTATGTAGGGGTCATGTGAGTACATGTGTGTGTGAATGCATGTGGGTGTGTGCATGTGGGTATATGTAGGGGTGTGTGAGTGAATGTGTGCAAATACATGTAGGTATGTGCAGGTGCATGTGGGTGTGTGCAGGTGTGTGTGAATTCATGGGGGTGTGTACAGGTGTGAGTGCATGTGGGTGTATGTAGGGGAGTGTGCATGTGAGTGTATATGTGAGTGTATATGGGTATGTGCATTTGTGTGTGAGTGCACGTGGGTGTGTGTGTATGAGCCTCAAGCAATGTGATGCACAGCCCTACTTCAGACTTCCTGGGCTCTTCTGGTCCTGACTTAGGACTCAGTCTCTCCAAGGCCCAGTGTCCAGCCAGGAGCCATTCACAAAGCCTGCCCCTCCAGGACAGAGTACCAAGACACACCCTCGGGACTGAAGGGTCATTGCCTTTATTGAGGGTCCACTGTGTGTCTGTCCTGAGCTATCTCCAGGTGTTCTGCCCCCAGGTGGACCCAGGTACCAGCTGGCAGGAGGCCAGCCGTTGTGTGTGGGCAGTAGGGTTCCTAGAGTCCTGGGCTCTCAGATGGGTCAATCTGCCCTGAGCTCCAGGAGCCCTGAAAGGGGCCCTGGTCTCCAGGATGTCACAGAAGACACAGGCTGAAGATCAGAGCAGTGAGGGAGGCCAGCAGGGCCCTCCACGGGCAGTGGAAACTGGAAGCCTCTGAGTAGCCATACTGCGTCCTGCAGGAGCTGCCCAGCTTGTCCAGCGGGATGGGCTCTTCCTCGGGGGTCTGCATGTGATTGCTGGCCTGAGGACAGACACAGTGGGCAGCCTGCCTGCAGGGCATGGGGTAGGGAGCGGGATGGCCACCCATGCTCACCTCCTCCACTGCCTCAAAGACCCGCAGCAGGTTATCAGCCAGTGCACCCCTGACCTCCGCCTCTGTCCAGTTTCTCCTGAGCAGCTCGGCAATCAGGTCTGGGTACTTGGAGACATCCTCCAGCCCCTCGGGGAGCCTGTGCCGAGGCCGAGGGAACGGGCTCTGCAGAGCTGGGGACCCGTCGGGACACACTTCCCTCCTCCAAGCCCCTCCTGACACCAATGGGGGCGTGACCTCCCGGCTCACCCACAGCACAAGTGCCTCACCCCTTACCTGGAAACACCATCAAAGTCCCCGCCAAAGCCTACGGCCCCAGCTCCTGCCACCTTCTTGATGTAGTCCAGGTGGTCTGCAGGAGGAGCAGCTGTGGGTCTCCGCGAGGCCCTCCCACCAGGCCTGGGCTGTGCGCACCCCACCTACCGGCCACTTGGAGCAGCTTGGCCTCCTTCTGGCAGGAGACATAGTCGTTGTAGAAGTTCACCATCACCAGGCTCTCTGTTTGCTTCTGGCAGGGGAGGGCAGAGAGTGCAGCTGAGCAGGTCTTGGGGAAGGGGTGGTGGTGCACATTCCCCCAACCCCAGCCTCCAACCCACACTCACCACCAGCAGCAACACATCGTCGGGCACGTTGCGCCTATTTGCACACAGGCTGTAGGCTGAGGAGTGGCTGAAAATGACTGGGGCCTTGGACAGCTGCAGGGCAGTCTTCATCGTGGCCACAGACACGTGGGCCAAGTCAATGATGACGCCCAGGCGGTTCATCTCCTTCACCACGCGCTGGGGAGCCAGGGCTGCGTCACCCTCACAGCCACCTTAGGGGCCCGGCCAGGGGGAGGCCCCTGGCCGGGCCAGGTGTTAACTCTTCGGAGACTGCACTTTTGGGACCACCCAGGCTCAGCCCCCATGTTGGGGACAGTGACTGGTAGCTCCATTTTACAGATGCAGAAACTGAAGTCCCAAGTGGTGAGACACCCGGTCCTGGTTATACCCCAGCCCTCTGCCTCCTCCTCTGGCCGATTGTGGTCTTTGCCTCCCCACTTACCTTCCCAAAGGGCGACAGGCCGTGACTCTGGGCCTTGTCATCGCCCTTGTCCACTAGCCAGTTGTCAGCCCTGCAAGAGCAAGCAGCAGTTGCCCATGGATGAGTGGTGCCTCAGCCCCCACTCCAGCCTGGCAGACCAGCACAGTCAGGGACCCCCAGGAAGAGGAAGGTGCCCAGGGGTCCCCGCCTGCAGGCAGTACTTGCCAGGGTGTGTTGCAGCTGTGGGTGAGGGTCAGGTACCGCATGCCCAGGTGGTAGAATGCCCGCAGGACGCCCAGGCTACTGTCGATGGAGTGGCCACCCTCCACACCTATCAGACTGGCCACCTTCCCTTCCTGGAAGGCCTGCCGGATGCCTGTGAGGGACAGGGTGGGGCTCTTGGGTAGGAGGAGGGTGGAGATGCCCACCAAGCACCCCCACGCCCCACTCAGGATAAGGCTGGGTACCTGTGCTGTTGGTGACACACAGGAAGGTCTCAGGGTATGCCTGGCACATGCGGTGGATGACATCCATCTGCTCTAGTGTCCTCCTCACAGCGTCTTTGTTCTGGGTGTCGCAGGGTGTGTACGCAGACCAGAACTGGGGAACAGGGCTAGAGCTGAGGGTGCAGGTGCAGGTCCACCCCCCCGTGCCATGGGCATCTGGCTTTCTGCCACCCTGGGAAGCCCCGTGACCGTCCCCTGCGAGGGCCCTCAGGGGTTCTGGAGGCACAGTGCCACCAGGCACTTCACCAGGCCAAGCAGCGAGATGGGATAGCCCCAGGCTGGTGCCGTACCTGGCCCCCCACAAAGCCAGCCCTCAGCTTGGGGATGTTGGTGTGTGTGTTGGCCAGAGTGGTCAGGTTGGCTTTTGGGTCCTGCAGCCGGTTGTTGAACAGGCTCAGCAGCTGCCAGGGCAGGTCGTTGTGCCTGGAGGAGGAGGGGAGGCCAGGGTCAGGGCGGCCCGCTTCTGAGCTCCCTAGCCTCTGGGCTGATCTCTCTCCACGTCCCACTCCTCCTGGCTCAGGATGACTCCTCGGAGAGGGGGTGTAGTCCCTGCTTCCTGCACCCCGTGCAAAGGTGGGCCAGACAGTGTATCCCCCCAACTTCTGATGCTTTGGTGTAAACGTTAAATCCACCTTTAGTACTTAGCACCCACCCCATGCTCCTGGGGAGAAGGCACAGCATCTGGGGTACCAGGCCCCCTGTTTCTCTATCCCTAGGGCAGACACCCTGCATCAGCATACAGAGGACTGAGTTCCCTTAGGTTTTCCTTTTTTTTTTTTTTTTTTGAGTTGGAGTCTCACTCTGTCACCCAGACTGGAGTGCAGTGGCCGCTCCCGGCCACCGCAGTCTCGACCTGCTGGGCTCTGGCGATCCTTCCGCCTCAGCCTTCCAAGTAGCTGGAATGACAGGCGCGCGCTACCATGCCCGGCTCATTTTTGATTTATTGTAGAGATGAGGTCTTGCCAAGTTGCCCAGGTGGGTCTCGAACCCGCAGGCTTAGGCAATCCACTCACCTCGGCCTCCCAAAGCACGGGATTACAGGCTGAGCCACCAAGCCTGGCTTCCCTTAGGTTTTCATGGGGCTGGTGGGGTGCGAGCTTTGGAGGGGGAGAGAGGAGAGGGAGGAGCAGGGGGAGGGGAAGGGGACTGGGGGCTCTCAGGACTGGTAGCCGAGTGGGTTGAGGGTCGAAGAGGGCAAAGTCCTCCCCGGACTCAGGACCAGCAGAGGCCAGGAGTCACTGCATCAAAGCTTAGGGGGCAGGCCGGGTGGTCTCAGAGGTACAGTCAGGAGGGGCCTCGTGGGCCCAGACAGCTCTCGCCCCTACTCGGTGACCAGGGGGTGAGGGCAGATGGGGGGGGGCCTGGCGCCATCTCCAGTGGGACCTGTGTTGGTGGGTGTGTGCCAGCTTCCTCCCCTCTCTGCCTCGGTCTCTTCATCTGTAGCATGGGACTCTCTTGGTCCCTTTCTCGAAGGGTAAATTGTGAGAGGCAGCAAGTGGCGTTATTCACATTACAACCTGATGGTCCTGAAGTGGAGTGACTGTGTCTGGGTCCTGGGTTCCTATGGCTCTCCACGTCCCTGGCCCAAAGCCTTCCAAAGTGAGTCCCCCACAGAGCTCCTTGGGGGAAACTGAGGAGGACACTGTGCTCTTCGGGGTCACAGTCAACTGCTCCTTTCCCAGGGCCAGTGCCCCCATGCCTGCCTAGCACATACCCAGCCTCAGACACGGTGTGATGGTCACCCCCTAGAAGCCGCCTCTGACAGGTACGGGAGTGTCTCCGCTGCCCTGCTCTGAGGATGGGGTGATCAGATGAATGGAGGGCCAGGCCGGTGCCGACTGTCCCTGGCTTGTGTCGGTGCTCGGCATGCACTTGCTGAGTGAGGGATTGGACAGTGAGCTCAGCCAGAGTCCTGGACTGCTGCTCTCTAATGGGATGTGGCCCACCTTGGGCACTGGCTCCAGAGTAGGGCCCAGCAGGGCCCGGAGGGGAACTTTACTCCTTCTCCTGATGACACACAGCCTGTCTGAGACTTTGGTCTGGGATGGGTAGGGTTCCTCAGGACCCCCAGAGCCATCCCATGAGGGAGAAGCAACAACTGGGGCCACTCTCTGTAGGTTCCCGCCCTTCCCTCAATGGCCAGGAGACCATGGGAGGGCGGGGCTGCTGGTCTCACAGCAGGAAGGAGGCTATCTCTGCCTTATCAGATCAGATTGTAGATCTGGAGCTGACCTAGACCCACACTCCTTATCCGCGTGGCCCCTGCAGCATCCTGGCTGGGCTGTGGGATCTGGGAGTCCTATTCAAAGGATACTGGAAAGTGCTGGAACACAGCCAAGCACACCAGGGCCAGCTGTTTGTGGGAAAGACTGCTGGCTGCCCAGCTCTCCTTCTCCTTCTCCTTTGTAGCAAAACCCCCTATCTTTAGGGGCATTTGGGATGAAGATCCTTCCCCGCTCCGTGGAGCTGTGTGTGGCTGGGTGATTAAGTGAGGTCCTGTGGCAGCTCCCAAAAGCTGTCCTTGACAGCTGCTCACCCTTTGACCCTTTTCTGTTCCTCCTTCCTGCTGGCTCGCATGCACATGTGATGGCTGGAGCTAGTGTAGCCCTCTGAGACCATGAGGTGACTGGGAATGGTGGCCTCACTGGGTCCTCATAAAATACTGTGAGAACCCTCTGGGCATCCCTGTTGTTGAAACTGCTTACTTGGGTCTCTCACCTCAAGAGGAGCTAAAACTAACGGGTCGCTAGTATTGGTTCTGATTACAAGCACTGGGCTAGCCAGGCTCTGTGGCTCAGCCTGTAATCCCGCGCCTTTGGGAGGCTGAGGTGAGTGG